GCGCTCCACATAAGACACGTTTTATCAACCTCAAGTTATCTGTCATCAAGAGCCTGGCACAGCCCTCCTCCCCAATTTACTGCCATCTACTTCGAGTGAGTCCTGATTGTTTTATTTATTCAATTTGGTATTTCCTCCATCCCCAGATGGCACATTGTTTAGACAGTCATTCATCTTTCGATTACATCATTTCTCTGGTCTACTGTACAGCTCGTTTTCCAGGTTGTGGGTAGGTAATTTACACAGCCGCTGTCTTCCCCAAATGTGCTAGGCTCCACGGGGAACCCCGTTTTTTCATATCTGTGCAGCAGATATAGACCTACATAAAGTTTCCAGTGTGCTAAATTATAGATGGCCAATCTGTAGAAAGGCAGTGTTGAAGCGCTTCTCAGCTAAGGACCAAGAGGAAACCCTGCAAGTAGCACACGGGGGGGCGGGGGGAGTGTGGACGGCCCCGCCTCTGACGTCCAGGCGCCCCTTGCTCCTGCAGTAGCTGGGATTTTTCGGGGCGGGGGTGGAACTAGAGGCCTTGGTTTAGGACTTGAAGCCTCGCTCCACACTGTGCTTTGGCGCTGGAGCAGGGTTAAGAGTTCGCTGACAACCGCCTCGTCGTGTTCTACGGGATCTCGGAGTCTTGTCCCGAAGATGAACTGGAAGAAGGCGAGGGCGCAGGATAATGTCCTTTCACCTCATTTACACCTCATGAAGATAAAGACCTAAACAGCGAGAGTAAAACCGTAAACCGGAACCAAGGAGGAGGCGGAAACGCACGCTACTGGAGGTGGGGGTGGGTCGTTGGTGACGTAAGACGCAAGCACCAGAACCCGGCAGCCTGTGGCACAGAAGCGATGGGGCAGGCGCGGCTCTGCAATGGGGTTCTGGGAGTTGTAGTTTCGCAGCCTGTGAGGTTAGGGTCTACTGTGGGCCCCCTTGGATCTGTCTGCACAGTTCAGTGGAGGAGGATCCTCTGGTCACATTTTTCCATATCTACAGTGAAAATTCGCAGGTTTGGCAGGACCTTAAGCGTGCAGGGCCGGGCACGGTGACGCAAGTCTGTAAACCCAGCACGGAGGGAGCTTGAAACAGGTGGCTCTTAAGCCCGGTTTAGGGAATTACCGAGATTTTATCTCAAAAAGAATAAAGGGCTGGGGGATGTAGCGCAGTAGGTTCGACTCGATCCCTCAGTAACCCCCCCGCCAAGTTTAATAAATGCCTGAAGAAGTAGGAACGTTCGCCAGAAAATAGTGAGATGAACTGGGTGTAAAGAGATTATGCGTTTGCCTGGGAGACGGTGAGAAGCGGGCAGCAAGTGAGTGGAATCATTTCGGGTAGAAGAAACCTCTCCTACAATATTTGGAAGCAAGTCCGAATGGTTGAGATCAAGAGTTCAGGGATGGTAGGCAGCAGATCTGAGTGTTTAGAAATGAAAAGAAACCAGGTGGATGAAGGCAGGGCAGTGGTACGGGGGGGAAAAATAAGGACCAAGATACATCATGTAAAGGTATAGGATCCCAATGATGAATGTAACTGTAGTGTATACCTAAAAGTAACCAATAAACTTAATTAAAAAAAAAAAAGAAAGAAAAACCAGGTGATGGTCTTGAATGCCAAAACCAAGAATTTTGATCTTTTCTTGAAATATGGATACTGCACAGGCTCAGGTATAATGCAGGGCTCTTTTCTTTCCTCTATTTTGTCCTTCCTCTTTTTTTTTTTTTTTTTTTTTTTGGTACCAGGGATGGAACTGGGGCCACTTATGATTTTGAGGCAGGCGCTGGAACCACTGAGCTAAATTCCTGGCCCTCCCTTTCTGCCCCCTCTCTCCTTCCTACCTCCCTGAAAGTAAGAAATAAATTGGAACTCTGTGGAATATCTGATACACCGCTCAAAAGTTTTTCCTTCCTGAATGGCTGTGGAGATCATACTACCAAGAACAAGAAAAGGGGGAGGGCTCGGAGTGTAGAGCTTAGTGCTCCGCGTGCAAGACGTGAGGCCCTGCGTTTGATCGCCAGCATCAAAAAAAAGAGAGGGGTGGGAGAGGGAAGGTGGGAGGAAAAGATGGCATGAGAAATTGGAAAGGGCGTGATCAATACCTTGCCACTAGTACTTTGTGGGAAGGAGCCATGGGTTACCAGTTGGAGCCATGACCCTCCATGCATCAAGTGCTCAAGAAATTCTAGTTGCTTGGTGTGGTGGCGCACACCTGTAATCCCAGCACTCGGGAGGCTGAGGCAGGAGGATCCCTGTGAGTTCAAGACTAGCATGGGCTACACAGTGAGTTCCAGGTCAGTCTCAACTACATAGACCATGACTCAAAAAAAAAAAATTCTAGTTGAATTGAAACTGGGGTTTTATGTAGAACATATTATCTGATGGGTTAGGGGCAAAGGACAGCTGGCATGCTAAAACAAAACAAAGTTGTGGATCTTAGAAATCTTTCCCAGAATGAGTGATTATTGGCCTTGGGATCAGTTAACCCATGGGGGTGGGAGGAATCTGTGCAGACGTCCTTAAGCAAAGCAGAAAATGAACATGAAGAGTGGTATGGGTGTAAAAGCTGTCATTCCAGGAGAAAGGAGTCAAAATGACAGAGCCCAGTCTGCAGGATTTTACCTGGAACAGCAAGCTCCTGGTTGGGACCTTAAGTGGGGGGCTTTTGTGCAATGCGGTTGGACGGTCAGAAAGACTGGACTGCTCTAAACGTTTTTGACAGCCCACCACCCTGAACAGGGAGGAAATATTCAGCCCAAACCCCAGATATTTACAGGTTACTTAAATATACAACTGCAACGATGCTAGGCATTACATACAAATTTACACAATGAGAACAAAATCTAAGAGATAAAATATATAAATATCCTAGCATTTTCTTCCCACAGCCCCAAGTGTATCACACAAACTTGGTATGCCGTTCACACACACCACTGGAAGTTGTGGAACAGAGGAGGACCTGATTGTCTATCGGCAAACTTTTAGAAACTCACACATCAAAGAGCTATGACTGCCTTACAGCACTTTCCATGCACCAGCCACTGTCTCAGTGCTTTCCGCATAACTCCTTTAGTCGCTATAGCAACCATACTAACATTAGCTTCTCAACATGAGGAAACTGAGGTTAGGAAACCTTCCACGATCACACAGCAGCGGCGGAGGCAGAATCTTCAAGTAGTTTGGGTTCACAATCCATGGCAAAAGCAATGTCCTTTCACGCGTGTGGCCTTCGTCAAGTCGTTTACCCATCATAGCTTTCGTAAGAGGGCTAGGAATCACTACCAGCGAAGCCTTTAAAGCAGCCGCGAAGGAACCGGTCGTCAGTGTCTCCAGTAGCCTACGCAGATAAGCACGCAGGCGCACATCAATGGGTTTGCTTTCTAAGGTTTGGGTGCGACAGCAGAGGGAAAGTCGGCTCCTGGGGTCGCGCTGCAAACGTCGCGCGGCAGGCATGCTTTGCGGCAGGCGACTAGTTTGTAGCCAGTCGTTGTGGATCTGCGGCCTGTGAGACAAGGGCACTTCGGTGGTTCGGTAAGAGCTGCTAATCTAAGCGCGGCGCTTAGGAAGCTTCCTTATGTGGTCTGCTTGACAAATATCCTCTTGGTTTGGGTGTGCCCCTCTTCTAGGCCCGAACTCTAGCGTGTCTGCTTTCCTGGGCCCCTTCACCTACGTAGCCATTGTCCCCGACGCCTGGAGCTTGCCCCTCTCTCCAGGTTAGTTTAGTTCTCTGGTTGACTAATACTTTGATCTCCTGTTTTTTTAACCAGAACTCTACACGTCTTTTCCGGGCCTTCAAGCGCCTGTATTATTCGGCCTCGCCAGCCTCTTTATCTCATTTCGCTTTTCAGTCGTGGGCTCCGGCTACTCTGGGGCCTCTGTCCCGGGCGTACCCAGCGCCTCCCGCTGTAACTCATTCTGTTCCCTGCTGGAACACGCTGCCCGCTGACCTTCACTTGGGGAACTCTAAATCTGTTGCGTGCATTTTTTTTTTTTTTTTTTTCATGCATATTTTTTTTTTTTTGTCTCATGCATTTTTAAACCTTGTGGATGCTTCTTCCTCTGAGCTTTTACCCGTTTGTGTTCCTTATAGTGTGTTCCAGTTCTCAGTGTGTGACTGCAGTGTGTACATGTGTTGAGCTGCTGCTTTCTCCCATCTCAGTGCCTGAAATGTAATTCCTCAGTAGAAAAAACATTAGACATTGAATTCATCAGTATAAATCGACTAAGCATGTTCAATTACACTCACATTTGTGCGTGTGTGCGCATGCTCTTTAAACAGTTTTTCTTAGTTTTTCTCCCTTTAGTGTTGTCATCCTCTACCCACCAAATCCTCTTCCTTTGTCTGTCTCTCTCCCTTCCCCTTCCTCCCTCTCTCCTTTATTCTCCTTTTACTTAACATAATTATATATTTGTCATTGTGTATTATTCTTTTTTCCCAATATCTGCCATCCGGGCGTGGTGGCGCACGCCTGTAATCCCAGCATTCGGGAGGCTGAGGCAGGAGGATTGCTGAGAGTTCGAGACCAGCCTGGGCCACATAGTCAATTCCAGGTCAATCTCAACTACATAGTGAGACCCTGTCTCAAAAAAAAAAAAATATCTGCCATATTCTATTGAGTACTCATTGACTCATTGTCCAGTAGGAGAAACATACAAATAAATGGCCCATTATAGTGATCTGCACAGTACTCCTGCGGAAGTTGAGAGTGCTGTTGGAACACAGGAGGGAGACTTGGTTCAGGAGGGTTTCTCAGAGGTGTTACCTAGGTTGCTATAGAAAGAATGGATAGAAAAATGTAAAAAGGTGGACTTGGTAGCTCATACCTATAATCCCAGTGTTTTGGGAGGCTGAGGCACTAGGTCTGCAAGTTTGAGCCCAGCCTGGACAATTTAATGATTAAGCAACACCCTGTGTCAAAATTTTAAAATAAAGGTTTGGATGTAACTCAGTGCAGAGGCTCTGGTTTAAATCCCCACTACTACGATAAAACAAGATACAACCAAAAAAAGTCATGTTTTGTGCTTGTACCTCTTCTCAGTTTTCTTCAGATCTATTTCAGAGAATTAGGATTACTTAGTCAAAAAAAAAAAAAAAACACACTTCTTTGACTTTTGGGAAAAAAAAGACCGTATCAGTATCAGAATTATTGTGCATTATCCTTTAGTTTTAGTTCTAAAGAATGTTTCATTTGATTGTACTCTTATGGCATTGTTACTGTTATTATTTTTATCTTCCCTTACAGTCATGCCTTTCTTTGATGTGCAGAAAAGACTGGGCATTAGCTTAGATCGCCACATGACAATCCAAAGTTCTGAGCAGCCTTACAAAATTGCTTCTCGATGCCATGCTTTTGAAAAAGAATGGCTAGAATGTGCACATGGAATTGGTGCTACCCGGGCGGAGAAAGAGTGCAAGATAGAATATGAAGATTTGGTAGAATGTTTGCTTCGGCAGAAAACGGTGAGGCAGTGGTGGAGATGGGAGCCGAATTTCTTTATTTCTTTGGGGGTATTCTGAAGTGTTTTAAATTGGTTATTAGGCCGTGCCTAATGTAAATTGGCAAAAATTTATGGTGAAACGTCTTTTGTACTCAGGATCCATGATGAGGAAGGTAAGTGCTTTTAGATATAAGGAGAGGCCAGGCATGGTAGCGCATGCCTATAATCCCAGCACTGGGAGGCTGAGGCAGGAGGATCACTGTGAGTTCGAGACCAGCCTGAGCTGCACAGTGAGTTCCAGTTCAGTCTCAACTACGTAGTGAGACCCTGTCTCAAACCGCCCCCCACAAAAAAAATTTAAAAATAGATATAAGAAGGGTCTCTTTCTCAGTGTTCTTCCTCATCTTCTCTGAGATGTTCCCAGCATTACACCATTCTGTAGCCACCAGGTTATCGACTGCATGTGTGTGTGTCCATTTCTTCAGGAGAATATAAAGCAAAGAGTATCAACCTGCTTTGAATCTTTGTCCTTGAGTGAAAATATTTCTTCAGGTTTATGGAGCCCTCGTCGAAGAACAGGTTAAGCCCAGCAAATCTATTACAGTGAACTATAACAATCTCTGGATTAGTTTAATACACTGAACAAGATAGAGATCTTAATGAGATTACTTTAAATAAGCCTATCCAAAAATGTAGGAAAAAAAACTTAGCAGCATGGTATTCACCTCTCAAGTTGCATGAGTTGTATAATATAAAAGGCCCTATTCTCTTTTAGAGAAGAAATCTTTGTGTTTAGGCTATCATTTCGCCTATTGCTGTGTTCTAGATACAACAAATAGAAGTTTATTTTATTTTATTTTTCTTTATTTGAGGCACTCTCTTGCTTTGTTGCCTGGGGTGGTCCCAGATTCATAGGCTCGAGTACTCCGCCTCATTAGAACTACTGGAGTGTGCCGTCATGACTACCTCCAAATAGAAATGCTTTTATTATTTTCAGCTTCTTGGAGTTCAGGGAGACAGTTTAGATTTTCAGTTAAACTTATGGTGAAGTTATCTGGTCCTCATCGTTGTCCTCCTTCCTCTCCTCCTCATACTAAAGATTAAACCAGTGGCCTTTACACTGAGCCACATCCCAACCCATTTTTTATTTTTCATTTTGGGACAAGTTCTCATTAAGCTGCCCAGGCTGAACTCAAACTTGGGATGCTCCTGCCTTGGCTTCCCAGATTGCTGGGTTACTGACATGTGCCACCATGCCTGGCTTAGATCAAAAATTTTTAAGTTCTTGTCTCTTCACATCTGCTGTTGGCATTTAGATACAGTGAAGCCAATCTTGGAATAAGGAAATGTCAGGTAACGTTTTTTATTGCTGTCATAGGAACAGTGATCATTAGGTACTGTATTACTGAGGGACTAAGCAAAGTTAATAGTTGGGTACCTTGGTTCCCATTTATTTGTTCATATCAAAATTTTATCTAAACCTGAAAATTTTTACACCAAGAGGAAACTATGTGAAGTGGAAAGTACATTGTATTAGAGTTAGGAGACCCAGGTTCTGATTCTGGTTCTGCATCACTAGTTTTGTGACTTTGAATTAGTCGCTTGCCCTTCTTGATCTTGGTTTCCTGACCTGGAAAAATTAGAGTTTGCTCCAGAGTCACCTCCTAATCCAGTGAGTTTAGAAATAGGTGAGTTACCATTTTAGAGGCTGCCCTCAAGGACTTAGATACCTTCTACAGATAAAGAAGCTGTTGAATCAGGGAATTAGAACCAAGCAGGGTTCTGATTCTTATCATGAACAGTCCTGTGAAGCCGGGCTGAGCCAAAAGGATCATGAGTTTGAGCCTAGCCTAGAAAATTTAGGGAGACTGTCACAAAATTTTTTTAAAAAGCTCTTTTTGTCTGGGCACGGGGGTGCATGCCTGTAATCCTAGCACTCCAGAGGCTGAGGCGGGAGGATTACTGCAAGGTCAAGGCCTGGGCTACATAGTGAGACCCCATCTCAAAAAACAAACAACAGAAAACACTTATTTTAAGGGCTGGGAAGTTAATTACAGCTCAATGTGAAGACTCTGGGTTCAAGCCCTCATACTGCCCACCCCATGAGATGAGTTACTATTACTGTTCTCAGCCATTATACAATTAAAAATTTGAGGAAGGTTGGGAATGTACCTCAGTGGCAGAGTACTTGCCTGGCATGTGTAAAGCAAAGAAAAACTGAGGCCCTTGCCTACATTCTAAAGCTGCTAATTGTAAGAATTACAGTTAATTATGGTGGAATTGGGATTTTAGCCTGAATAGACTGCACCAGAGCTGCTTTTTATCCATAACACTGATTTTTTTTTTTTTAATTTTTAAAACATTTTCTTGTGGGTGTTTTTTGTTTGTTTTTGGTACTGCGGGTTGAACAGAGCTTGTCACATGCCAACCACACACTCCACTACTGAACTGTGCCTCCAGCCCCACTAAGTGGTTATTGCTTCTGGCTCAGAAAGGTTTGACATATGTTGTCATAGCTCAGCCCTGGCTAGTCCTCTGTTGAGAGACTTCAGAGAGAAATGCTAAGAATGTAATCTTAAATGGTAAGTGTTTATGTCAGTACTTAGGAGGGCCAGGGATTTAGCTCGGTGGCATTGTGCCTGCCTTACAAGTACAAGGTCCTGAGTTCAATCCCCAGTACCAAGAAAAAAGTATTTAGGGTATCTGGGGATTTTTTTTTTAACCAGTTATATCGAGACTCCTTCTTTGAGGTTAATGAGATGTTTCCTGAATATAATACTAATTGTCTTCATGCATTTGAGAAAGTCATTCATTTAAAAAATATTGGAGCACCTATTATGTCAAGAACCTCTCTAGACAATTAAGAATATAGCCGTAAACAAAACAGCAAGAAGTCCCTGACTTCATGAAACTTGTATTCTAGTGGGAGAAAGGACACAAAATTGACCAATAGAATTGCTAAGGGCAGGAGTGGGGATTTAGAGCTTAGTGGTTCCGCCACTTGCCTCACAAGTGCAAGGTCCCAAGTTCGATCCCAGGTGGGGGGGCACAGCCTCCCATGTAAAATTGCTAAATACAATAAGGAAAGATGGAAAGTGTTACATATTAGGATAGTGAGAGAAGAGCTTCACAGTAAGGACATTTTGGCAGAGACAAAGACGTAGATACAAGGGGAAAATGTTCCAGGCAGAGGGGACAACAGCAAGTACAGAGAAGCCTTTGGACAGAAAAAGGAAGAGCCAGGGGAAGTGTTTTAAGGGTTAAGGTCAGAGAGGTAGTCCCTGTAAGCCATTATAAGTTTTCACCATTTTCTTAGTAAGATGAGAAGCCACCGAACAGCTTTGGTCAGAGGAATAATGCCACCACCATTAGTAAGTAGTTTCTGTGTCACAGAATCTAGCAGTCAGCTTATTGCTGTAGCTTTGACATGGTCCCATAACATAGCATGGGTCTGATTTGTTGGGAAGCAGCCACTGGCCCAGCTGAGGAGAACAAACAGCTCAGGGATCAGCAGTGACTAGTAGTTGCACATTTGCGGGCCTTTGCGTTTTTACAAAAAAGAGACCTTCATATTGGCTGTTTCTGCTTCCTTGATACCTGTGAACACTCACTGAGCGGGAGTGCCACTTTCATATTGAGAAGTCAAGAATATATAAACTGTAAGATGATCTTAACTTTTAATATGTATTTGAAAAGACTTTGTAAGAATGCTCCTTTTAAAGTCTTTGTAAATTTTTGAATCCATATAATATGCTGTGTATATGTATCAATACTTATATTACACACAGACAGAAGGCATTTTAGTTTTACTTATTAGATTTTTTTTTTTTTAAGACAGGGTTTCTTTATGTAGTTCAGGCTGGCCTTGAACTTACTCTGTAGCCCAGACTGGCTTTGAACTCTCAGTGATCCTCCTGCCTCTGCCTTCCTAGTTGTTAGATTTTAAGGAGGCATTATTATGTATACTAGAAATTTGTTAAAAACCCTGGGAAACAATTTCAAATTCTTTAAAGTTGGGCTTTAGGGCTGCGGCTGGCTCAGTGGTAGAGCACTAGCCTAGCATGGATGGGCCCTATTCAGTCTGCAGCACTGAAAAAGAAGAAAGAAAAAGACTTCATCTCAGAGACCTCTGGAATGAAAAGCCTTCCAGAGTTTAAAAATGGCACCAAGCCAGATATGGCACTTGCCTATGATTCCAGCACTTTGGGAGGCTGAGGCAGGAGGCTAACAAGATCAAGCCCAACCTAGGCAATGTAGTGACTTAGCGAGACCCTCAAACTAGACGTAGGGATGTAGGATGTAGCTCGTTGTGAAGGCCCTGGGTCCACTCCAGTGAGGTGGAGGTGAGGTGGGGGTAGAGGATGAGGCCAAAAGTAGCTTTCTTGCTTTCTGGTGCGTATTTCCCTCTACTTTAAGGGCTTTTTTTCTTTGGACAGATACGACGCATGAGTATGATCAAGCAGCAGCGGGCTAAGCTGATAAAGGAAGGGACTTATACCCCTCCACCTCACCACCTGGGCAAGGAGGAGTCTACACCCTGAGCAGGGAAGCTGCTGATGACAGGAGGCTGCTGTTCATGCTGTTTTCCACTGGAAAGATTATTCACTGCAAACCTCTGTCAGATGTGTAAAAATAAAAGAATATTCTGCCCTATTTTGTTTTTTCTTAAGTCATACTTTTCCCATGATGTGATTGCATCCTGTTTTGTTTTGGTTTTTGTTTGTTTGTTTCTGGGGGGTTTTTTGTTTGTTTTTTTGTTTTGTTTTGTTTTGAGACAGGATCTCACTATGTAGGTCAGACTGCTCTGGAACTCACTGTAGCCCAGCTGGTCTCAAACTCACAGCAATCCTCCTGCCTCAGCCTCCAGAGTGCTCGGATTACAGGCATGTGCCACCCCACCCGGCTTGCATCCTGTTTTTTTTATTTTGTTTTGTTTTGTTTTGTTTTTTGGTTCTGGGGATTGAACTTGGGTCCTTGCGCTTGCGAGGCAGGCAGGCCACCGAACCGCTAAGCTAAATCCCCGGCCCTCCTGTTTTTTAATTTTGAAAAACTTTCTCTACTTGTGTTTTAAAAATTAGCATTGAAGGAATAATTAACATTTTCTGAATACTTACTGCAATTGAGAAACTTTATGTTATTTGAGGTAGGCATGGTGATGTGTGCCTGTAATTCTAGCCCTTGGGGAGGCTGAGGCAGGAGGATCACAAATTCAAGCTCAATCTGGACAATTTAACAATTTAGTAAGACTCTGTCTCTAAGGGGTAGGGGTGGGGCTAAAGTTCAGTGAAGCCTTAGATTCAATCCCCAGTACTACAAAAATAATACTAATATTTAAGAAATTGGAGTGTTACCTTGAAAGCACAAGGTCCCAGGTTCAATCCCCCATACTAAAAAGAAAAGAAATTGGAGTGTTCTCAGTGCTGGCATTATGGTTTATTTTCAAGAAAACACAAACTTGGGCTGGAAGGAGGAGGCAGTTTAAAACAGTGAATTTAGTGATTCTGTTTTAATATTTAAATCTTTGATCCATTTTGATTTGAGTTTAGTGATGGTGAAAGCTATGGGTCTAGTTATGCATCATATGGAAAGCCAGTTTTTCCAGGACCATTTTAAAAGAAGCTTTCTTTCCTCCAATGAAGGTACTTTGCTCTTTTTTCAAAGATAAGGTTACTCAGTATGTTTAGAGTTGTTTCTGCATCTTCTAATCTATTCTTCTACCCTCTGGTATATTTTTTTGCCAGTACCATGCTGGCTTTTTTTTCTTAAATCACAGTAGCTTTATAGTATAATTTTAAGTCAGGTTGTGATGCTCCCTGCCTTTTGCCTTTATTGCCCAGAATTGCTTTTGCTGTTCTAGGTCTTTTCTTACTTCATTTGTTAGATTAATTCTTAGGTATTTCTTGTTTTGGATGCTACGCTGAAAGGTGTTTTTTCCCTAATTGCTCTCTCAGTGAGTTTGTTGTTTGTGTACAAGAATGCTATTGGTTTTTTAATATTGACTATCTAGCTACAGTACTGAACTTGTCTTTTTGTTTTGTTTTGGTACTGGGAATTGAACTCAGGACCTTGTGCTTACAAGGCAAGCAGTGGCAGTGATGATTTAAATCCCAGCCCTGAATTTGATTTTTTTTCATTGAGTTTATTGGTACTTTTTAAATATACGGTACAATTGCATTCATCATTGGGATCTTGTACCTTTACATGACAGATCTTGGTTCTCATTTTTCCTGCCCTTCCTTCACCCCCTCCACCTTCCCCGATTTACAAAGACTTTGTTTCCATTTTTTCCTTTTCTCATATTTTTTCTTTTCCTTTAATTCCTTTCCCCTACCCTTCCCACTTCCCCTACACCTTTAGCCCTTTTCTTCCTATTTCACATCAGTTAAATGATTTGGGTCTTACATACACTTTTAGTTTTTCACATCAGAGAAACTATTCAGTATTTACACATGTCTTATTTATTTCGCTTATGAGTATGGCCTCAATATGCATCCATTTTCCTATGAATGACTCGTAAGTTTCTCATTCTTTATGGGTGAGTAGTACTCCATTTTATAGAAAAACCACATCTTTATTCAGTGTCCAACTGATGGGCAATTTGGCTGTTTCCAAACTGTGCTGCGATAAACATGGGTGCACATATATCACTGTGATATGATTCTTTTAATTCTTTTGGAAAGATACCCAGAAGAGGGATAGCTAGGTAAAATGGCACCTCTGATCCTAGTTCTTTGAAGTGTGTCCATACTGATTTCCACAGTGGTTGCACCATTCTGCACTCCCACCAACAACAGACAGGGTTCCTTTCTCCTCACAACCCCGCCAACATTTGTTATTGGTTGATTTCTTGATAGCAGCCATTCTTTCTGGGGAGAGGTGAAATCTCAGTGTTGTTTTCATCTGCATCTCTCAACCAGTGATGTTGAACATTTTTTCATATATATATTTGCCACTTTTACTTCTTTGAGAAATGTCTGTTCATTTCAGATGCCCATTTTTGAATCAGAGCTTCATATTTGGGGGCCCTGATATTTTTGAGTTCTTTATATATATTCTAGATAGTAGTCCTTTGAGGAGCAGCTGGTAAAAATTTTTTTCCCACATTGTAGATTGTCTCTTAGCTCTGTTGGTGGTTTCTTTTGTAGTGCCGAAGCTTTTTAATAAGATGAGATCTCATTTGTTGATTTTTTGTGATAGTTCCCATGCTACTAAGGATTTGTTCATAGTCTTTTCCTATTTTAATGTCTTCAAGAGTTCTGCCTAACATCTTCCAGCAAATTTAGTGTTTCTGTTTTAATATTTAGATCTTTAATCCACTTGGATTTTCTTTCTTTCTTTTTTATTTTCTTTTCAATACTGGGGATCAAACTTGGGACCTTGCACTTGCGAGGCAGGTGGTGGAACCACTGAGCTAAATCCCCAGGCCTCCACTTGGATTTTAGTTTAGTGCATGGTGAAAGATAAGGGTCTAGTTTTAATCTTTGATAGGTTGAAATCCAGTTTTTCCAACACAGTTTATTAAAGAGGCTATCTTTTCTCTAGTGAGGATGGTTGGCTCCTTTGTCAAAAATGAGGTAGCTGATTACCTCTGGAGTTGTTTCTGTATCTTCCGAAGTATTCCATTGATCCTCGGGTCTTTTTCTTTGCTGGTACCATGCTGTTTTTATCACAGTGGTTTTGTAGTATAGTTTCAAGTTGGGGATCGTGATATCCCCTGTCATATCTCTGTTGTCTAGAATTGCTTCTGCTATTCTAGGTCTCTTCTGATTCCAAATGAATTTTTGGATTATTTTCTGTAGTTGTGTGAAATACATTGTTGGAATTTCAATTGGGATTGTATCAAATCTGTGTAGCAGTTTTGGTAGTATGGCCCTTTTCACTATATTGATTCTTCCTACCCAGCAGCAAGGGATAGCTTTCTATTTTCTTATATCCTTTTCGATCTCATTTTTCAGAGTGCTATAGTTTTCAGTGTACAGGTCTTTTGCTTTCTTCGTTAGACTGATTCCTAGATACTGCATTTTTTTTATGCTATTGTGAAAAGAATTGTTTCCCTAATTTCTTTCTCAGCAAGTCTGTTATTTGTGTACAAGAAGGCTATTAATTTTTGAGTGTTGACCTTGTATCCAGCTACTCTGCTAAAAGTGTCAGTTAAGTTGAGAAGTCTTTTGGCAGAGTTTTTTGGGTCTCCTGTGTAGAGTATCATATCATCAGCAAATAATGACAGTTTAACTTCTTCCTTTCCTATCTTTATTGCTTTAATTTCTTTCTCATACCTAATTGCTGTGGCTAATGTTTCCAGAACTATATTGAATAGGAGTGGTGATAGTGGACATCCTTGTTTTGTTCCTGATGTTAGCATGAAGGTTTTCAGTTTTTGGCCATTTAATATGATGTTGGCTGTTAGTTTTTCATAGATAACTTTTATCAAGTTGAGATATAGACCATCTATTCCAGTTTTCTGCAGAGTTTTATCATGAATGGGTATTGAATTTTATCAAATGCTTTTTCTACATCTATTGAGATCATCATATGGTTTTTGTCCTTGACTCTGTTAATATAGTGTATTACATTTATTGATTTATGTATGTTGAACCATCCTTGCATCCTGGAATATATCTGACTTGGTCAAGGTGTATGATCTTCTTGAAAATCCTCTGTATTCTGTTTGCCAGTATCTTACTGAGGATTTTTGTATCTATGTTCATTAAGGAGATTGGCCTGTAGTTCTCTTTTTTGGTTGGTTCTTTGCCTGGTTTTAGAATCAAAGTAACACTTGCTTCCAGGAATGAATTTGGAAGTATTGCTTCCCTTTCAATTTCATTGAAAAGTTTAAAGAGTAGTGGCAGTAGTTCTCTAAATGTCTTGTAGAATTCAGCATTAAAGCCATCAGGACCTGGCTTTTCTTAGTTGGTAAACTTATAATTATGTTTTCAATTTCACTGATTGTAATGGGGGGTGTTTAGAATTTTTTATCTCCATTCAACTTTGGTAATTTATAAGTATCAAGAAATTTGTCCATTTCTTCAGTGGTTTCCATTTTATTAGAATACAGATTCTCAAAGTAGGTACTGGTGATACTCTGGATTTCTGCTGTATCTGTTGTGTCACCTTTTTCATTCCTAATTCCATGGATCTGAGCCTTATTCTTTCCTTTTTTTGACAAGGTTGACTAAGGGTTTATCAATTTTATTTATTCTTTCAAAAAACCAACTCTTCGATTCATTGATTTTTTTTTTTAATCATTCTTAGTTCCATTGCATTGATTTCTGCTCTGATCTTTATAATTTCCTCCCTTGTACAAGCTTTGGGTTTTTCTTGCTCTTTTTCTAGGAGCTTAAGATTCATTATTAGGTTGTTTATTTGCGCTCACTCTGTTTTCCTAGTGTGGGCATTCACTGCTATGAATTTTCCACATAGAACTGCTTTCATTGTGTCCCATAGATTCCAGTATGTGGTATTGGCATTATCATTTATTTGTAAAAACTTACCAATTTATTCAATTTCCTCTGTGACCCATTGATTGTTCAGGAGAGTGTTCAATTTCCATGTATTTGTGAAATTCTTATGATTTATGCTATTGATCTCCAGCTTAATTGCACTATGGTCTGATAATATACATGGGAGAACTTCAATTGCTCTGCATTTGTGTA